TTGGTAGAGGAGTGCCGCCGAGGTGCGCCTTCAAACCTTGACCCCGATTGAAGACAAAAATCGTTCATTTTGCAACCCTGTTTAACAAAAGAGAGCCTATTTTATGACCCTAATTCGTTCTTTTTTTTGCAAACAGAATCGAAATATTTTTCAGAATAACATTATGAAATTAGATGTTTTGGATAAAAATTGTCGGTAGCACATATGGAGATTACTCATCGCAAACCGTTGAATTAATTCTTTGGAAAGGCTTCAGGTCCAAAAAGACACTCTCTTCAAAAACACTAATTTATAAATAATGAAATTGTATACTCCGTTTAAGACTCAAGATTGTGAAAGAAAACCATACCCTGTTCAGCGTACAAACCCACTTAGGCCAAATAAGGCCAGGCAGTGCCCCGCATGCGCCGGGATCTGCGTGTAAACTATGAAAGGAATCCGGTGTCTGAAGTTTCCATATAATTCTTGACGAATCCGGAAAAATCGACTCTAGCGTAAATGTAGCCTTTCGAGTAACATTTCACGTGTCGTTGTTATTAACAAAATGAACAGTTGCAACATCCCCATGCATCAGATTCTTCTTGTCCGGCAGACGCCGTAAGTTTGGCTTTAATGTCCACATTACTATTAATACCGGATAGCTTTTGCGCCGGCACGAAAACCATACTGGATAGCTAGGGCTTTTGTTCACACTGATACAAACAGTGATTTCTTTTCGAGGCGATTTCTGTAACGGAGCAAAACTGCGCCGCGCCGATCCCTAGAGTGGAGAGTGAGTTACATATTGGATAGGTGTTCACAGACTTCACACTATATCGGATAGCTTTTATATGTATGTTTTTATTTAAGGGACGTATTTTTACCAAAAAACTCACTACCAAGTTGTTTTAGACAGTGAGCGTTCACAGTTGGGATCGCGCTAGTTTCCTATTGATGCTGAAACGCAAGGTTGCTTATGGCCGATTAAGGCTAAAATAGCAAAAATGTAGCCAAACTTTTGACATTCGAATCGCCTTTACAGACTTGTTGGACTGGTTTGCATTTTAAACACGACCCTGCAGAAGCGTTAAGTCGGGCTTCAATAATATATGTAAACTTTCGTTTGTTCACTATTTTCACATACACCATAATGCACCTTGGTTACCCTGAAATTTCTACTACACTGAGAAGGTCTGCTAATGAGAAAAATTATGCCAAAGAACTGAACAGGCTTTCACTGCAGCAGAAGGATACTGAGATTCGAACCTTTTTTTCAACTTTGGAAACATTATTTTGCACAAAGAAAGCTGCCAGACGCCCAGCTGAATCACAGAGGTTTACTGCAAAGCTGTGGAACAAGGGCTTAGCAACCATGCGCTTGATCAGGTCAAATGAAACTTAGAAAAAAGGCTGTCAATATCACAAATTTTACGTACTTTGATGCACTCTCCTTTACATCTAACAAAGTACGATCACTTTACAACTCCTAATTCTAAAAAAAAAAATAATAATTAATATCTCCCTGCATATTTCGTTTTGGAAAATATGTGTCAATCGATCATTTTGTGACGGACGAAACTGATCTGAAAGTGACTCGTCAATCTTTATTGTTTGTTTGTTGCTTAATTACGAAGATATTTTCGTTCATACAGTTTAAAATAAGATACTTCCAAAAGTTGTTATATAGCAGTGGAAGAATTTCTGAGATAACGATGATTAATACCCCCAAAAAATGATAAGATTTGGTTATCGCGGTCCGTGATTCTCGCAATGTGTTTCTTGACTTTTCTCGGTAAAGCTCGGTAAAATTGACTTTTGCAAGTCAAGGAGCTGTTTTAGGAAAAAAGGAAGTGAGTAGAGCGCGCAGTTCGTGAAGTAGTTTTTTAAGCCTGTTGTTCGTTTGTGCTGTCTTTGTGTTTTATTGGTTGTGCATGTTTATTACAAATTTCTTACTACCGCTCAATTTCTTTCTAGTCTATTTCACAAGAAGTATAATCAAAATGATTACTAGTAATTGGACCTGGCAGGATACGTTTAATCTGACGACCACTATCCTGCTGACGGATTATTGATGCACGGCTTTGTACCTCGCCATTTCTCAGGCTCACATTATAAATATCATCCCCTGATTAATTCGAATGTTAATTCGAAAATGGAGGTAAGAGAATACATGATGCGTTTTTACTGTTTGCCGCAAAGTTGTCAAATTTCTACGTTCCCTTTTAGTAAAGGTCGCACTACACTATCGGCCAATTACCTGGAGGCTTTATAAAGCTAAAGGATACGAGCCATAGTTGTTTGGGAGTTTCTGTATATGAATTTGTTTGTAAATGTGAACTTTTGCTTTTAAAATGGCAATAAAAAACTCAGTGCCAAATAGCAAATAATTTAGATCTCTTACATAAGTCCATATAGACTATGATGATGGCGCAACACTCCCTTTTTATGGCCGATATAAGGCTAAGTTTTTGTGCAAGAAGAGGTTGCTAGGACAGTGAGTCAAGATCGCCATTGTTTCCGGCCACTGGTCTGTCAGTTAGGTTTTTTTTTTAAACATTTATGTCTGCACTCCCTTTTTGCAGTTGCACATGTCGTAATCCCGACTCGCCAAAGGAGAAGCGAAAATTTGATGTCAAATCACATTCTCTTTATCATATTGGATAAAATGCAGTACTGAACTGCACAGGAAGGGTAACAAGATACACATTTTGATATTTAAGGGTATCGACGGAGGTTATATTGAGAGAACTGTGCTAACATTATTCAAAGGGAGACATAGTTGGTTCGACATTGTAGAATGCTCAAAATAGCAGGGATTCAAACTATCCAAAGTAAAATCTCAGTGATACACTTGGGGAGTCCACGGTGACGCAAATTCAAGGTATCCAAGGTTGAGTTAACAGAACCCTATACACTGTATTTTTTATTAACTAAACTCTAAACGCACTTCTCTTGTGTTCTACTCTACTCTACTCTACTCTACTGTGCCCAGCTTAGCTCCCTGTTTGGAATATTCTCAGCCCTACTCTTATGTAATCTTCTCTAACATTGGGGAGCAAAGGTCGAGAACAGTGCTGAGAGCACTAGACCCCGCCCCTGCCCTCTCCCCTTCTCACCAAAGTGACCCAGGTTCAAATCCCGGCGTCGACGCCATATGTAACAAACATAATGAAACAACGAAAGTTTGAATTTGTTGTTGATTCTCTCCTTTGCCCTGACTGGTTTTTCTCTTCTCTCTTCAAAAAGCAACATTTCCAAATTTCGGTTAGATCGGTGAATTGCTACCTTCAAAACTTTAGTTATTTAGTTACTTATTTATTTACTAAGGAGCTATTCTACTGTATTATATTATTTCATTTTATATTATATTTGGCTATTATCCTCTTTCTCCGTCCCTTTATTTTCTTTCTTGCTTTATAATCTTCAGTCACTAAGTAATAACTGCCATACTGGCAGCAATGACACCATTAACCCACACAGGCGCATCCCAGCATCCACCGCTGAAGTCTTCTTTGGACAAGGTACTGTACGATCTCCCAAGGATATTGGTTCTAATTCACCCTCATCATCAGAAGATCTTCGTGACGATATAAATATTGTTAAAGATTTGGGATAAGAATCGGTAAAAAATGAGCAACTACTGATTTTAGAGGGCAAGGCATGTTTCGATCGATCAATGATCAGTTCAGTTACAAAGTGATACACTTATGACTGAAGTTACAATAAATGGTGCATGATGCATGATACGATTGGCACTGATCGATGTATCAACTCATGATAACAATTGACATTTTCAGCTTGTATGTTTTGTTTCCCCATTTAAGTGATGGTACTTCAGAGAACTGTCTCTTTCTAATTTCGTCCTGTGCGCGTGCATCCACGTGCATATTAAGTATGCATAATTTATGACAGGACAAAAGGCAAATTCCCTGGAGAACATCACGTGGTCTGAATTAATAAAACAAACCATACAAATGCAAGCTAAATATAGCCTGCGTACAGAAGACGCTTGGACGCAATGGGCGCCTGCTACACAACCTAAGCTGGAAAGGCCTGTTTGACTCTACATAACGTTATCCTGAATAAGCGTGAATTAACAAATATTACACATTAGGGAAAACGTAACGTTTTCAATCTCTTCAAAGCTATAATAATATGTAGCAAAAATAAATAAAATAAGTAATGATAACGATCACGATATTGATGATGATGACGATAGTAAAAGTAAAATCCAGTTAAAACGGAAGAGTAAGCTCAGATGATTAAGCTGCATGTTCAATGTTAGTTTCTCCCTCCTAATATAATTATGAGAAATTTATATTTGTTGACTGGAAAGACGTACGTGTCGGTTTTTCACAATAACGACTATTGACCACCACAGAAAATGCCATAACATACCCATAATGCTCTTTGTTTGTTTTGCAGAAGCATTGTTTTCAGTTTCTTTNACGTTATCCTGAATAAGCGTGAATTAACAAATATTACACATTAGGGAAAACGTAACGTTTTCAATCTCTTCAAAGCTATAATAATATGTAGCAAAAATAAATAAAATAAGTAATGATAACGATCACGATATTGATGATGATGACGATAGTAAAAGTAAAATCCAGTTAAAACGGAAGAGTAAGCTCAGATGATTAAGCTGCATGTTCAATGTTAGTTTCTCCCTCCTAATATAATTATGAGAAATTTATATTTGTTGACTGGAAAGACGTACGTGTCGGTTTTTCACAATAACGACTATTGACCACCACAGAAAATGCCATAACATACCCATAATGCTCTTTGTTTGTTTTGCAGAAGCATTGTTTTCAGTTTCTTTTGGGGCCATTTGAACTCCCAAGGGATTGAATCTAAGAGAGGAAATGGCTTTCCCCGGGAACAAAGAAAACTGTTCGTAATTAACGCTGGGTGTCCGTATAGCGGGGTCCGAGTGACATAAAATGTATATTACCTTTAAAGGCTTCTCTACACTTACACTAAATCACATTCAAGGTAAAAGAAGAAGTAAAGGAAGGTCATGTAGAACCTTCATGTGTACTTACCATTCTCGTCAACATCGTCGTAGTCATAACCGAACTCGAAAGACTTCTGAAACATCCGTTGATGAGTATACACAGGATAAAGTGGTACAATGACGTCATCTTTGTTGTGTCCGATGGGTGAATTGTAGGTTGAAAGAACCGAAGCGTTTTTGTTGAACTTGCGAAGCCATTTCTCATAAAACCGATCCACAAAGAAATGATGAAGAGAAAAGATTGAGTCGTTTGACGCAGAAGATACATCCCCCAGGGCTCCACCCAAGACTATGTGAACCTGGTTATGTAAGGTGTGGACATTTGGCAAACAACAACCGGTCTTTGTACTGAAGTAGTTTTCCAGGATATTTTTAGAATTGCAGCTTGACTCTTTCTCATAGGGTGGCAGGTCAAAAGTTTCAAACCGGAGAGCAAATTAAAGTTGACTTCTTCTGTGGTTGGAAATGTCATTGTATATCTCTGTTTTCTTACTTTTTCTTCCTTTTCCTTCTCAGTGCGTGATCTCTTCCAAAACAGGTTTCTTGTTTATTGCGTGGTCACATATATTTGTCGGGAAATGGGTTTGTTCACTGGTGCAAATGACGTACCAGTTGTCAAAGTATTTGCCCTTCACAGTTCCACCAGCTTGGTTTGTTACACCAAGAAGCTCTTCAGAACAAATAGCTGGCTCACATTGTGTTTCATACCTTCCCAAAAAGGAATAGAAAGTTTTCATCGTTACCGATTCCAGCAAGGTTCTCTCCCAAGTCAACGAGTACAGTCGATACCACTATTTATCAGACACAGGTCCGAATGTTTTTTTAACCTCACTCCTTGTAGGCATTTGAACAACCACTAATTTTCAGAAACAGGTCTGAATCGAAACACTTGGGGCCATATTTATATATGATAAACACGGTTTCAGACGGTTACGCTGTCAAAAGTTATTTTCTCATTAGCATTAGGTTGGATTGATGTGAGATACAGTACAAGAAGAAGTACAAGTAGACGCTGCAGTAACATGCTTAATATCGTTTTGTTGGTTCTGTCAGTAAAAACTCTTTGCAATCTTCAGCGCCCTTCGTTTTTGTCGACACATGTGCTCTCCACATCAAGCTAAACCGAGCGACATTCATTTGAAAAAACTCAAGTTAAAATGCAGGGGCGGATCCAGGATTTTTTTTAGGAGGGGGTGCACTCGTCTCTTGCTCTACTTCAACACCAATAAACCACATAGTTTTTTTTTCGCAGAATACCAGTCGTATTAGAAAACCGCAGGTCATCTCACGAGGGGGGAGGGGGGGGGGTGCGCACCCCCTAAACCCTCCCCATAGATCCACCCCTGAAATGTACCAGTTTTGTCTTTTAACAATTAATTACAAGTATTTAATTAACCGCAGACTCGCAGTAGTTTAGCCACTGAAGACTACCGGTAGCTTTTATCCTCACCGTGATATTTCCACCTTTAAACTTGATCCACTGTAGGACCACATAATTCTTGAAGGGGGTAAACTTCCGCATTGTCTTCGGAATTCCGTTAATAAATATAGGCTACGTATTTTTCATACGCTGGGGATAGGCTAGACTGTTTCAAAACAAGTTCTTAATTTGCAAAGATCAATGTATTACTTTTAACTTTGATCAGAAATTGTACAAGGCAAATTTTTTCTGTCTTGATGAAATGAGAAATAAAAACACGTTGGGCAAAACCACACTTCCGCTTTTACCTACTTACAATATGCCGAGTCTTGCCAAAGTAAGAAAAAAACAACAACGCACAACGACCATCAAAACAAATAAAAGACTGAACCTTATACAAAAATAAGAATAGAACAGAAAGCACTGTCAGGTTTCCAAAACTGCGTTCAGATTTACATTCATAAACGTCAGGATCGTTCTTTACGAGAACTGTTTTCTGTGTATCCGCAGATGTCTTGCACACATTTGCACCAACTCAAGCTATATATGATTCATGTCATTGAATTGTAACTGGTATCGAATTTGCAAACAATATTTTCATGTAAAAAACTCTTTTCTCATTTCCCATACTCTTGAAGGCCATGAAGGGAAGCATTTCACCATTATGATTCCAAGAGCCAAAACAGGGTAACGTACTTCTTTTTTACCCATTCGCCCCAGTAGATTTTGCCGAAAAACGCGTTTTGAAGCTAGTCGAGTGGTTTTCTGGTCACTGTCATGTTATAAAGAGCTAGAACTTACCACAAACCGGTTTACAGGTCGTACACTTCACGGCCTTCTGATCCAGATGCAAAATATCAGCTCGCGAAGTTCGGGCATGCGCATAAAGCAAAATTTCGAGGTTTTTGGGTTTAAAAGTAACACAGCAGTCTTGACTTTTACTTTTCGCTTTCTCTCCTCTCCTCTTTTTTCGCTTTTCTTGCCTCATTTTTTTTTTCTCTTGCTGGGAATTTAGTAGGCTTCATTTTGGTGGGAAGAGTTTTTAGGAAAGCTTTTAGGATCTTAGAATTAGGTGAAAGGAAAGGTAGGTGAGCAATGGAACAAGATTTTCATGGAGATTTTCTGGTCAATGTCACATCGTTTTTTGCTTCTTTCTCCGGTGTCCTTGACTGAATTGTGCTCATTCTGTTATGGTTTGAAAGATCTCCTCACTCTGCACAAGTTAGCGGACAAAGTTGTCCTTGATCGTTAAAACTGATGACGTCACAAAGGGTAGAAAGGACGTGGATCCGCCCGGGCGGTTACAGGCGGTTCAGGGGCGAATGGGTTAAAGGAGCTGTGTCACGCAATTCAGCCAAATTAAAAAATTACAAAATGCCCGTTGAATTAAGAGAAACATAAAAATAACTGCTTAAAACTTTAAAGGAAGGTTAAAATAACATAACAGAAACAACAGATGCCACGGATGGCCAAAACTGAAGAAGATTGAAACAGATTGAAATTAGGGTTTTTGAAAACTAATCAGCCCAACAGTATTTCAAAGTTGATTCCTGCTGCTTGCAATTTCAAAAATAATGCTCAGGAGACATATTTGTTTGTCTCTGGTCTCTGATTTTGTTATTTACCTGTAATTTCCTTGCTTGCTTTAATTTCTATAGCGCTTGAGGGCGAGTAATTGGCAAAATTAAACAAAATGTACTGGACTGCTGTGACACAGCCCCTTTACATAAAACTTGACCCCTTTCGTCAAATCTAAAACCATACGGCATTGTTTCTAACAAACAAGATAAAAATTTACATTTGTCTCTTTAAACTGCAGTGTTCAAGTGGTTGGATTGAAGCGTCTATGCTCCTCGCTCTGAATGCCCTGATTTAACTCCAAGCGCTGAGATATAAGAGAGTCAGCTTACTCACACCCTTCAATTTAACAATGCGCGTTCGATGTGTTTAGCAGCTGGGCGGAGCTGTACACGATGATCTGTACGATGCCATTCCTGTCAGAATTACTGGCATAAATAAATGCATTGTGGTCACGAGACAAGACACTCCCTCATCATAAAAGTCCCAACAAGAGACAAATCGCCTCAACCTCGGCTTTAAAAGCCGCCATAGTTGTATATTCATTGAATGTCCTGTAAGACTTGCAAAAAGCAAGATAATCTACTTGTTTCTTTTAAAATATTGCTTATTTTAAGTTTACGACATATCTACTAGTATCTTCAGTCAATTTAGTCGGCTATTTCATGTCTATGTTGATCTATAACCTACTTCATAAGTTAGACTACGAGTAGTCCCCCATTTTTCCTCAGGGATAGTAGAGCGAGCAAAACGCGAGCGCGCGTGAAAATCAACCCACGCGAGAAAAGGCGACACGCCGCGTGTCGCCTTTTCTCGCGTGGGTTGATTTTCACGCGCGCTCGCGTTTTGCTAGCTCTACTCAGTCCCTGAGGAAAAATGGGGGACTACTCGTAGTCTATCATAAGTATGCAACACAGGATTTAGTAACGAATCCCTTTTTATGAGTAAGTTACCTATTGCCAGTATATAAATCATAACCCACGCGGGATGTTGAGAGAACACGAGAAAAGTTTGTAAATCACGAGCCGAAGGCGAGTGATTTACAAGCCCTCCAAACGCATTTTGTATGAGTTTACCGGCACAATAAACCTTAGGTTTTTGACCAATCAAGCGTACTATCATAGTTATTTCATAAATACAAAAGTCAGCCGGTACTGCTAATTACTATGGAACGTGTTTAATCTTACGTCCTAAAACTTTTCATAAGTGATATTCAGTGAAGTTAATCTATTTTACGTCTACAACCGACTTCATAAGTAAGTAACACTGGAATAAAAGTACACCCTGTTTTATGAGTAAGTTACCTAATGCTGGCGTAGGGAACTCAAAAGAATAAATGTCTTCTTTGAGTCTACCGTGACTGCTAACTACTACGCGTATTTAATTGTACAGCGCCGAAACCCTTGTTCAGGGCCCCACTTGTGTACCAGGATTTGAGCACGCGCTATGATTGGCCAGTTACCCATTGAAAAAAGCCATTGCCAATTTGTCAGACAAATTGACGAGGATATCGAAACGCGTTTCCGGTAACTGATTCGTTTTCATTTCTGGTAATTCGTTCAGTAAGTTGGGGGCCCAGAATAAGGACGTTACTACTAAATTATAAACCGGTTTAAGATTACGTCTGCAACGCAGGCTACATTATCTACTCCTATCTTTGATTTATATTGCGGTCTACTTCAGCTGTATGACCTTCATAAGAAAGTAATATCTGAATAAATGTAAATATATATTTTGTAAGTAACGTATTGCATATGTAAAAATAATGCATATTTTTTCATTTGTGTTACTCTAATACAGACACTTGATTCATATCAGAGAAACCAACCTTACTAAATCTTCAAGCAGAAACTGATGCTATTTTTACCAGTAAATGTTCAGTCAGATCTTTGCTTTGCCATTGCCCGGTAGTGCCTAGTGTCTTAATCTCGCCTTTGGGCATAAGGGAGTATATTTTTTCACATGAACCAAATCCTGGGCACCCTAGATTTCACAATCTTCAAAGGTTCAGAGCACCGGGCCCTCTTCAATTTTCAGAGCACAGGCATTCAGATAGTGGGGAAGGCGCAAAGAAAAGCGCGCGCCACTCTTCACGATCTGAACGACTGGAACATGCTAAGGGCACGCATTGCCAGGAATTATCATTTGGGTCATTTATTCGAGGTAAAATAAGACGCGAACTGTACCATTTATACGAGCATGTCTTATCTAAGACGAGAACAGCTCGTATAAATGGTTCGCATCTTATTTCTGTTCTTGACTCGTTTTCATGTGAATGTTGCCCGTAGCAACGGCAACCAACAAGGCGCGAAAATTTTCCCTCCAAAAATTAACGCATGCGTACCATGCGTTCGCGTCTTCTGTAAGACGCGAAGGTCATTTATACGAAGTTTTTCTCGTCTTAGCTAAGACGCGTCTTATCTAAGAACAGGTGTTAAGGGCTGTTCTAAAATAAGACGCGTCTTAGCTAAGTCGCGTCTTATTTCAGACGAAATGTGCCGTTTATACGGAAAGTTCGCGTCTTATTTAAGACGCGTCTTATGTAAGACGCGTCTTATTTTTCCTCGTATAAATGGCCCTAATGATATGGTGTAGCGTTGGTTCTACAATTAAGATGATACATTGGCATCTTTCAGTTCATCAATTTTTCCCTGCATGGTTGGTCTCGTCCCAGGATCTCTCTGCAGGCATCGCCGTACCAGGCCGCGAAACACAGCGTTCGTTATCAGCACGACTTGTTCTTCTCGCCTTGTAGGATCTGGCAGTTCCCGGATGCACATTTCACAGAGAAGAGCACCAAAGCTGTAGACATCAACCTAAAAACAATCATAATACATGACTTCATGCCAGAATATTCTTTATTTTCATTACTTATTAGTGGTATAGTGATTACAAAAAGAGTCAAAGTAACACCAGAGGGAGAATCTCGAGAATTCAAACGAAATAGGTGATTATCGGTAAATGGATAAGAAAAGCCTAGAAAACAGAAGATCCTTAAAAGGCTTCATGGTCAGTTCTTGGCTTTATTGTTTTGCTCCTAAAAATACTAACTTTTGCCATCCTGTAACTGTTGTCTTTAGAGAAAAGAAGGGATGAATTAACAATTCCAATTACGTGGACAAAATGCATGATAAAGAACATAAACGGGTGAAAAAAGCGCAGAACAAGGTGCAAAGACTCCTGATAACGATATGCTCATTTCAGTTCAAAAATATTGTATTGTTCGTGAAGTCCCGACAAGAAAGCGAGCTTGGGCGAAAGGACAAGGGTCACTTTGACTTCCGCCACTGTTAGCATTGCTGTACAATTTTAGTAAGTCAAAAGTCTTGAATGTTCACTTATACTTACCTTTACTGTTTGGTTTGATGTAAGTGCTTCAGGTGCACTGTAAATCATAGCTCCAGGAGCCACTGTCATGGTCTGCTGTATAAAACTAGCAGTGCCATAATCTGACACTTTGGCCCTCATTGGTCACCCTGTCGCCATAGCAACACATTAGCACTGCTCACATCACGGTGAATGATGGGTTCTGGTTTCTTCTGGTGAAGATAGTTCAGTGCGCGGGCTACATCCAAAGAAATGGTGCGTATTTCTGTTTCGGACAGTTGCCGCTGTTCTAACAGAGTCCGCAAACTTTTCTCCATCAACTCGGTGACAAACAGAGGACTTCCCTCGTCAACTGTGGCGCCGATAAACTGTAGTAAGTGAGGATGGCGACACTTGGATGCAATATTCATTTCTCTCTCAAAAAGACGTATGTTATGAGGGGAGAGGATCAACTCATGGATTTCTTTCACTGCTACAGTACAGCCACAATACGTTCCCTCATTGACACTTCCCCATCCTCCCCTCCCAAGGCATTTCTCTGTGATTTGAATTTCGTCGCGGGGAATAACCCAGTCACGTGCTCCCTGGTTACGCAATTGATTTATTGTTTGCTGAGCTGTTGAAAGACTTAACTGTAGTTCAGAAACTTGTCCTGTCGGGAATTCGTCAACTGTTGTCCTATCTCCCTCAGTTGCCGCTGCAACTCCCTCAGCTGCCTCTCAGAATTTTCTTCACGTTGTTGAAACTCCCTCAGCTGCCTTTGACAATTTTGTTCTCCTTCTCGTAAATCTCTCACCAGCCGCTGCATATTTTGTTCACGTTGACGAAACTCCGTTAGCTGGCTTTGAGAGTACTGATCCCGTTCTTGAACCACTCTGAGCTGCCGTTGTAAATTCTGTTCACGTTCCTGCATCTCGCGTAACTGCCTCTGGAAGTTTTCTTCACGTTGCTGAAAATCCCTCAACTGTCTTTCTAGTTCTGAGGTTCGCCCTGGCGAGTTTGCTTCTCGTAGATCTTGCATTTTTTCTGAAAAGATAATTTATGATCAAAAACAAACAAGGCAATCAAAATCACCCAAGTAACATGAGCGAAATGATTAAGTGTCAACTAAAAAAGAAAAATTACAGATTTTGACTTTATAGATAATTTTCAATGCACGGTATTTCTCTCTTGAAACTGAGCGACACATGAGCATAAACGAAATACCGATGAAGAGGATGAAATTCAGAATTCCTTTTCGCCCCAGTTGTCACTTAATGTTAATTGCTTGTTTGTAAACTCACACAAAATATTGAAGAGTGTGTCCAAGAACATAGCCCCTTCTTTGAACGAGTTCTCATTTTTTCGCACACATGTATCTTACTCAAGGTTACTCAGTGGGCATATGGATAGATCAGTCGATTTGATATAAAAACGTTTCGACACGATGCAGTCCGAAATTAAAATTACTCTGACATTTTTCAGATATTTAAGGAAATACAAATTGAAAGCAGACGGATAGAACGTGTTGGACGATCCAAACTCATTCAAACAAACTTAACTGAGCCAGACGCCGAACCAATCCTGGACAAAAGTCCTTGGGACAGTACTGCAATATTCATATTTTCTGTCATTTCTCGGTTCCCTCTTAAAACAGTACATCCTTTTCGAAATTTTCTTGAAGTTCTCCCTCCCCGCACACTATACAAAGTTGAAACTCGGAAAAAATTCTGGATACACTTGTCCAACATTTTTTGTGGGGTGAGGGGAGAGGTTGGACCTATGTGAATTGGAAAACGCTCCAGAAACGCAAAAGTGTCCCAAGACTTTTGTTCATGATTGTAGGCCTAAAGAAAACACACAAAAAAAACAATGTTGGACTGGTCGTTATAGTCGGTAGGGGGGGGGGGAGGGGAGGTGGGAAGAGACGAAGTTTATGGCGCAAAATGTAACCTTAACGAGAAATGTAAAAACATGTGAAGCAAAATGAAACATTAAATCGTAATGTAACAAATTTAACATAAAATGTAATAACTTTCTGACACGAAGTGTAACCCTAAATCTAAATCTAAATGTCTGATCTGCAAAGAGCAGTACAGCCCATCTTCAGCAGATATGTGCTGTGCTCGTGCTATGTGCGCTAAAAAACAGTGCAGTGAATTTGTGCTGGTGATCTAAAAATAAAAAGTGTTTAATGCTCAATGGGGCCTGGCCTGGGCCCTCAAGGCAAGCTTGAAGGCCTCAGTGTTGGCAGCTTCAATAATTGTTTCGGGAAGTTCGTTCCATTCTTTAACGGATCTGGGAAAAAGCCTTATTTATATATATATTAGTCCTGCAACCAGCGTTTATAAATTTAAGTGGGTGGTAATTTCTTGTTTGGCGTTCCTTCTGATTGAAGTAATTTGGAATTTCTACTGCCAGGGTGCCATTTACGATCTTATACAAGTTTGTTAATCTTGTTTGTTTCCTTCTCTGTTCCAATAATGGCCATTTTAGCTCCTCTAGTAAACTTGTGACGGTAGCTGGTGTGTGCTGATTGCACTTCTTAACAAAACGAGCCGCTCTACGCTGGAAGTTCTCAATTGATTGAATGTTCTTTTGTGTATGTGGGTCCCACACCGAGCATGCATACTCCAAGTGGGGTCTAACTAAAGAATAATACGCCTGCATCTTGATCTGTTCGGCGCAGTTATATAGATTTCTTCTCAAGAAGCCGAGGGAAGAGTTCGCTTTCCCGGTAATGGCAGAAATATGTTCATTCCATGTTAATTTGCTATCTAATTCTACACCCAGATACTTATTGTAAAAACTTTATACTAAAGGACTATGTGACAATGTAAACTGTAGCTAAATTCTTAAACTACAAACAGAAGTTTAGTAAAACATATAAGCTTTCTCACACTTTTCTCAGTCTCAAACCCCAGATAAAACTCCGGTACTATATACTGGCGGTATTCTGTTGCATTCTTTATCACAAGCTATAAGGCACATAAGCTAAGGGGTGTCTAAAACCAGAAAATTATGTCCTTTTTACGCAGACTTGAAAAAAATCAATCGCAAATCTATATCCTGCGATGCAGAACTCAAAACCTAGATAAAACTTAGATAGAAATCGGGACTATATACCCGCGTTGGTGACGCCTGCGGGCTATAATCAACCTACGGTCGACTCCGGGCCGTGGTTTCTTCGAAAAAAAATGTAAAGCCATACAGTGTAACGATAACATAGGCACAAGCATGTAAGAACCAGGCAGCTGTTGTTCAATCGTTATCCACTGGATAAATCTCTATCCACTGTATAACGCAATTGGGCTGATCTTTCTGGTCAGCAGTGAGAAATCTCCTGCTTCCAAACTGTACTTTTCCTCTGGATATAGGGATTTATCCGCTAGACAGCGCTAACGTTTCAACAACTGGGGCCATTTTTTTCGGTGTAATTTGTTTACCAACGAACACCTGGGAGTTGTTAAGAACTCGATTGAAACATGTCCGTGCGTTCCAGATCGAATTGGAATTTGAAAGTGTTGGTTTTAAAGGAGAGGGGAAAACCGAAGTACCCGGAGAAAAACCTCTTAGTGCAAAGGAGAAAACCAACAACAAACCTAACCTACATAAATGGAGTCGACGCTAGGATTCGAACCCGGGCCACATTGATTGGAGGCGAGCGTGAGATACGCCTTTTGAAAGAACAGGATGAAGGGGTAAAAAATACATGTAGCTCTTCTCGGATCCATTTCCTAAGGCTATTTTTACTGGTCGATGAATTACCCAACGAAAGTGTAGAGAGAAATAACCAAATATTTTCTAATTTAATACATTGAAACCTCTATTAAGCGGACACCTTCGGGACCTTCCCAAGTATCCGCTTAATAGAGGTTGTAAAAGTTGCACAATGTTTGTGAACGATCAACATTCAACGGTTAATCTGTACTGTGATAAAGTTGCCTGTTGTTAAAGAAGCTATCCAGAGTTCAAGTTCATTACCTTTCATTACCAACCTTAATTTGTTTGTACATGCAAAAACACTAACTGACTTCAGTACGTATTTCAAGGACGTAACCCAATACTGCTATTGTCAATTTAGTCCGTGTCCGCTTAATAGAGGTTTTTAACAATAGAAATTAGCTAAATAAAACTTATTTTAGTGACCGCGTCCGCTTAATAGAGTTGCCCACTGAATAGGGGCTCGTTATAAAGGGCAATATAAGTTAATTTCGGGACTCGGCTTAGAGGGTGTCCGCTTAACAGAGGTTTCACTGTATTTCTTGCCATCATATGACTTTGCTTTGGGGAGACCTTTAGCATCAGGTTTTTCAGTCTGCAGTTACAAGTTTGCAGTTTCACGTTGCCGGGATTTCAGATTTAAGCAAGGCGTTCATTGTTTAGTGCCGTCATGTTGTTTTTCGTAAATTCGAAGTTCTTTGCTTTTTTCGCCCAAAAACATAAATAATTCATTGCTTCGAGATCAAAAATCTAAGTAGCACATTTCAGGTGGATATAGAAAGCTGATTCGTGCCTTTAAACGTGAGGCTTTACAATTTTTAGAGGCAAAAAAAAACCTTGCCGTAAGTCACTTACCGCTGAAAGCCCTTCCTGCCGTTCAAACGTGAGCTTTAAACGGCAAACGTGACAGCAAGACCGTGGTCACATGACATTCCCAGGTTTGCGGTTTCCCATGAAAAACCTGATGCTAAAGGTTTCTATTCTCTCGTGACCGCTTACAAATGATAAGAGAAGACTAAGGACGAGTCAGGGTCTCAAGGGAAATTTTGGCGGGGAATTTTCCGCCAAATCGATTGATGCGAATGAAAATTCGCATCAATCGATTTCTGGATTACAGACTAATGTCTGTCTCTAAGCTTTCATAGTATTAAGTATGATCTGATTTGTTGACTCCAAATCACTAGAATTGGGGCCACCCCGATACTATGTTCTACGGGTGTTTTTGTTTTTAAGTAGATAAATGTTGTTATTGTAGTCTACCCCTCTTGACACGGGTGTCTGTAAAACGCGGACCAGATACCTGCGGATGACGGATGCGAATCCGGATGGGAAAATGCGGATAGAAAAATGCAGAATTAAGAATAACTTGCACACAGTAGTATATAATAATATTTTGGATACATCAATTTTACTAAAGTATGTGTTCTTTGTTTATGGTTCTGTTGTATTTAAATCCCGATTATAAAGAACAGTTTGATATCCATCATCGGACAGAAAACACGTACATAAAGTTCTTGGGGCAACTTTTTATTCTTTAAAAAAAGCAGCAAAGAAAGAAATTGGAGAAAACAAGACAAAATAAACCAAAAAAAGGGTGAACTGCGCGAAAAAAATCGGCGTGCGTTGCTTCGCTTATTTCGCACTCGCCTCGTAAATCGCCCTGATTCCCCAAAAAGGAGCCTGGTATTGAAAAGGCTCTTCATGTAACGCTAGCACTTTGCCTGGACTCTGGTCTACTCTGTCATGGAAGACAGTTCAGAGCGTGACTCTGAACTGCCCGTTTTTGAGATCAAAAGGTAGGTTACTGTTACACTAATTGTTTTCTTTTTCATTTTCGGGTCTTTTCTAATTTCCTGAGCAAACTGGGTCCTTTAAAATCTGCGATTTGTTTTTGACGACTTTAAAGGAGAGAGGCTACCACATGCTCAACGCAAGAGAGAGATGGGACGTGAGAGAGATGGGACGTAAAAGATATGCTTCTTAACTTGATATCACAAATCCTCAGTATTTTTCTTCTGGTTTTGTGTGAATCGGTCTTGTTTAATGAGGGTTTTTCCACAGAACTTCTTTTTCAAGCAATATGCCGCACCCTCAACAGAAGAATTTGTCGGGCGTTCGTTCCATTTTCACAATTTTACGCAAAGGTTCTTTCAACGAAACCGCCGCCTGGTTAGCTCAGTTGGCAGGGCGCCGGTCTGCTGGGTCGGAGGTCGCGGGTTCAAACTTCGGCCGGACCAACACTCAGAAGAAAGTGCTGCCTTTGTAATGACATGCAAACGGTTACACTTTCTAGTCTTCTCGGATAAGGACAAAAAGCCGTAGGTCCCTCTCACAGTACTGTCACTTATCTGGTTCTTGTGGGACGTAAAAGAACCCACACCACTGTTCGAAAAGAGTAAGGGACGTTATAGACCCTAGTGGTGTGACTAACCTTTCCTGGGCCGGGTGGGTTATCTGTAAGGAGAGATGTTAATATCGCCATAACCTCATGATCCTCCTTCAGGTGCCGTAATGGCTACCTGTAAACAATAGGGAGCTTTAGCATCGGCGACGGCAACGGCAGCGAAAATGTCAGTTTTAAAATGAATTCCCCTTTTTTTCAATCTTTGTCGCGTTTATTCCAATTTGCTGAAAATGGCAAGTGTAGACGAATTTCCCTGGAGTTGATTTCTTGAGAACCGCACTCAAGTTTTTGCCGTCGCCGTCGTCGTTGCTAAAGTTCCCTAATGTATGAATGTATGTAACGAATAAAAAGGAGTGATCTGGTGTAGACATTGTTAAAATCTTTATAAAGGCTTGTTAAGAAGCAGTTTTATGTTTGGTTGCTGCGTCCCAGATACACGAGGGCGGTCCAAATAAACCGAATATCATATATTTTCGATTCCGAATTCTGTCTGTCACGAGTTTTCAGTTGTTCGATACAGACGTTCAAAAAATTCGTTAAGGATATGTTTTGGAAACTATCTTGTTTGGGGAAAAAATTAAAACAAAACCAAATGAAACAGAAATTAGTCTTCATTAATGCGTCTCACTGGGGACAATTTTTCTGCGGGATTTTGACTTTTAGGATGCTTTAAGATAAGGCGATTTTTTTTTTGCACCTTTTCGGGAAATAACTTTCGCGATTAATCACGTTTTATTAAGTCTGTTTTTTCTTTTCAATCGGCAGTATATTTTACAGTTTTAAAATTCGAATTCATAATTCGTGCACTTACAAATTCCCAAAAGGTAGAACTTGTAAAAAATAAATTCACACGATAGGCGGAGTTGATTGGCATCTGCCAAATCGGAAACTTACGTACTTACGTTCCGCCTTTTTGCTTTTTGATGCTGCAATTTTTAGTCTCGAGGCGCTAAAAAAACTCATCATTCTCGAATTGTTGGCCTTGAAAATATTTTCTCTTCTGTAAGTTGAATACACTATACCCAGGCTATGTACTCAAAGGAGAAGTGCACCATAGCATGCGTGGTTTTAAGGAGGAGGAACAGAGCGTCCTTGTTTCTGTGACATTAATGAAACGAATTACAGGGTTCAAAGAATTGAGAAAAAACCCTGAGTAACCTGTGCCAACTATTGACAACGCATTCTGTAAATGAAGAACCCAATCACGCGACAGAAACTTGAAAGAAAGATTTCTTTCCTTTGTTTGTTTTTTCATTTCTACCATCCGCTTTTTTCGTTTTGTTCTTTTTACTTTTTTTGGCGTATAAAATTAACTCTGGATATTTCACTCAACAATTTTAAATATTTAAGCCCAGCTATCCATACAAATGTACGAATTAGTCCATGGATAATTAATCCATACAAATTAACTATATGATTCTCAATTACAAAAAAAAAAAACTAACAATATGACTCTCGCCATAAGCTTGAGCTACCTGTTTCTAAAGCTACGTACATACAGTAAGTTAAACCTTATTCCTCCTTTTATTTAAAAACCAAAACCAAAATAACTAAAGCTACTCTCACCATATTTAACCTTGATCTGCCTGTTTCCATACATATCTACAGAGGTAACCTGAGATCAGGCCCAATTTTAGCCGTTCTCATACATTCTCTTCTAACGGCTACTGCTTAAAATCGGGCTCTCTTTTCGTTTCGCCTTGCCCGCCGGAATGTTATTTACAAACCGAAACGAAAAGAGAGCCTGATCTCAGGTTAGTACGGAGGTTCAACCATGTACCTTTTTATTCCAAAACCAAAATCAAACAAAGTTTTGAAGAATTATATTTCACATTCTTACCTTTGATAGAGGCGGGCATCTTTTCAATAAAAAGCTGAAGTTCATTTGGATCAGCATCTTTTAGTTGAACAGTAGTGTGTTCTGGGAAATCCAGCCCACTTATTGTAACTGTATCCTTGGTGACTTTCATTGTAGTTTCAGGCTGAACCCAAAACTGAAACGGTAAGGAAATATAATGATACAATTTAAGTTATACTGACTATAGCGGCAGTTTCTGACAACTAAACACAACTATTCACAGCTTATTTCACTGGGATCTCACTTGCTACAGGATTAAACAGTTATGCCTTCAGTTACAGCAAAATGAGTTCAATATGTTCTGCTCAAAATCATTTGTCAAGACCGCTCTTATTTATATTTTCGTTACTTTTTTTCCCCCACAACTTGTATTTCTTGTTCTACGATTGGTAAATTTTCGGTCCTCAACTTAGGGGCTGTTTACATGGAGAGAGGAAGATCCTAGTACCAGGAAGATCCTAGAAGGCGGATCATTGTAGCGCCATGTGTTTTCTGTATTCAGTTTGCATGCAAAGGGTTGTACTTATCCCTAGCGCTAGGATGTTCCTAGTACTAGGATCCTCCTACCTCTCAGCTAGGAAGATCCAAGTACTAGGAAGATCCTAGCACCATATAAACTGCTTTCGCTAGGAAGATCCTAGTACTAGGGACAAACGCGACAAAAATGTCGGCGGGTCGTTCATTGGTTAATTACGTAAATAAAGGCCGACCATTTCGTTTGGAGTAATCCACGAGAAGATTATTGTGTTAATTCAGCTGAAAGGTTGTGATTTACGCCAGTAAAGAGAGCAGAAGGACCCAAATTGCATTTTTGATTTTGTCGCCCGCCATTTTTAATTCCTTCTCTAACCTTCTCTACTTGGACAACTCACGGGCCGAAATTTCTGCATGTAAACCCAACGTAAAGTTATTCTACCTCCTAGTATCTTCCTGGTACTAGGATCTTCCTCCCTCTATGTAAACAGCCCCATAATGTACTGTAATCTCTCAGTATTAAAATTACCCACGATCCTTGTTTTGCTCCTTAATTTATGACCCGCCGTGTACATCTCACGACTTTTTACCCATTTCTCGCTATTTTTCCCAGCTCTAGGTCCAGAATCTCACATTTTTTTTTGCCTTTTGGGGGTTGTTGAGTCTGTAAAAGACCACTAAACGCCTTACACAGTGTATCCTTTTGCACTAGTACGGCACATCTTGTCAAAGGGACAGTTTAATAAAATAAAATAATAAAGGACAATAACAAATTACTCATTAAGTCCTCGAAACAGGTGACCACGGCTACTCAATAGAAGTAACTGCTAAACAGCGATCAGTTTTTACAATAATTAGGAGAAGCTATTTGCAGAACTTTGGTGACCGCTTATAGAGGTGCCCTTAATACAGGTTTGACTTGTTTGACTATAAAGACAGTTACAATAAACACCCTCTAATAAGAACCTGTGGATTAAGAACCTCCTGGACGAAATTTGCACTTTAATACCCAAAAATAGAAGAACCTGTTTAGCAAAGCAAAATCAAGCAGGTCCTTATATGTGGGTTACAGTTAAATTATGATAACAATTTAACAAAGGAGTGTACCTTTGAGTTGTAAATTTTAGTACGAGAAAAACATACTGTACTAAACTATATAGATCTATGGATATAAATTCGGTAATCAGTTTTGTTAGGGTTATAATAACACAATTGTGAATAAATAAAAAAATTATTTATTTCTCTCCTAATCAACAATCTATTATCTCCTTCATAAAAATTAAGAACCTAATCTCTATTCAGAACTTCATGATCACATTATATAAGAGTCTGTTCTTTACGAATTATCCAGTTTATTTAAAAGATATGTTCACCGTACGGTCTTCATCCTACAATTTGTGCGGAAATCATATCCTGGCCCTTCCCAAACCAAAAACAACGACTAACGGTCTGCACTCTTTTTCATACTTCGCTAGCAAAGTATGGAACTCTCTCCCAGACACTTACAAAACATTAAATTTTCTAGAATTCAAGCAGGAGATCCTCAGATATGAAGCTTTTCCACAGTAGATTTACTAGTTATATTTCCCTTTGCATGCATAATGTTGTATATAGTTTATAAATAATATTGGAATTGTAATATAATATAGCATATTATTATTTTCTCGAATATATTAGTTCTACAGCTACTCTGTAAATTTCGAGCATAAATAAAGTATATGTATGTATGTATGTACGTATGTATGTATGTACGTACGTACGTACGTACGTACGTGTGTATGTATGTATGTATGTATGTATGTATGTATGTATGTATGTATGTATGTATGTATGTATGTATGTATGTATTAAGAACCTACCTAGCCTAAATTGCCAACAAGTACTCCAAGATACATTAGAACCTATATTTTGCCAGACTTAAAAAAACTAAAGTTCTTATTAGCGTGTGTTACTTAAATACAACTGAAAACAACCATATTCACACCCCATTTAACCGAGACCTCACTAGTACCATTATTAACAAGTATGTTCATATCAAAATCATTTGTCATAACAGTAGCCTTGCAGCTCTTCAGAACCTCTGATTTATTTGGATCCCTATTGTCATAGCTCTTTTGTTTTCGGGCTGGGTTCCAATTTGTTTGTTCACTGATTTCCCAGCCAATCCCTATGAGGTTGCACAGTATACACTAGACCATGTGGTCCCTGGCTCATCCCCAGACCTTTAGGTAGAGGGCACCACCACATTCCTTTAATCCCCTACATAAACCATTTTCGAGCAAGCCAGGCAACATCTTCTCTCCCCCACAGTAGATGAAAGAAAGATTACAATTTGAACAAAGGGGATAATAAGTAGTAAAAAACTAAATTAAGATGATAAATATTTTCATGCAAGACACACAAAAAAATCGTTATCGGACTGACTTTTAAAATATTAAAATAATACCTGAAGGATAAATTTATAACGTAAAATAAATTTCACTTTACAATAGCGGCCATTGTCGCATCATTTCAGGTTTCATGCAATACTATTTGGTGTGAATTTTAACTTGTACAGTGTACAAGAAATGGAGCATAAAAAAGTCTTAGTTATCAAAGACATTCATAATAATACTGATCAAGAAAGTCAACAGGCTCACGGTGCAAAGCACAAAAAGTTATTAAGTGAGCTTTGAAAACAAAAAAAATTAAACTTGAAGCAATACATAAACTAACACAATCAAACCTGTATTCAGGGGACACCTTCGGGACCAAAGCAAGTGTCCCTTGAATAGAGGTTCCCCCTGATTAGAGGTTGGGCTGGGGTTTGTTAATAATTAACCAACAATGACAGCATAAAAAAAGCATCATTAGGGACTTTAAGATGCCACAACAGCGACGACAAACAGAACGTCAAAAAGGCAATAGGTTCAAATCAATAGGCAAAGCAATAACTCTGCATGTGCATCACGCTTTTTTGTACATTTTTTTACCATCACTGCATGACTACGACAGGAAAATGCAAATATTTTACGATTTATGGAGGACGTAAAGAGGCGACGGCTAAATTATCTTTCTCTTCCTCAGGGGTGTAGCTAGGGTATGGTCCTAGGGTGCCTGTGACGCCCCCTTTGTGAGATAATTGTTTTATGTCCCTATAATTCAGGTGGCCAAAACGCGCGAATCTGAAGAATCAACCTACAATAAATCTTTTCCACTGCTAGATTGTTATTTACTCCATTTGCAGGACCGAACATCTGCAGTGGACCATGTTCTTGTTCGTAACTAAAAGAGAGCAATTTATGCTACATCAAACTTAATTAATCTAATGGATGCAGGTATTTTGTAGGCTCGTCCCTCGCCCCACCGCTCACTGCTCATCCGAAAAAAAAAATGTCACTTTTAGTAAAACACGGCCTGGATATCGACATGCCAAACTGGTAAGTACTCTGGGGTTGACACGGTGTGACCCCCCCCCCC